TGGTCTCAAGATATAAATTATGGGTGTATTTGAGTATTGAAGGTGGGGATAAAGAAGTGTGTCCAGTATAATCCACCGGGAAAGAGGAGCAGGGGTGGTTTTGCCTAAAAGTGGGCCATTGTTTTAATTTTTTTTCTGTACCAAATTGTACTTAGAAAAATAAATCCATGCCTGCAATCAAATTGCATTGTGGCAAGACACTGGATTCAGAAGCAGATACACTCAACTAATTGTATCATTACAATTAATACAATAAAATTTAGACATCAAACATGTCAGATTTGTTCTCTTCTTCATCCTCACACATGTTTTCTTGTTTCTATACAGGTGTATTCTGCTTTATTCCTTTCTCACCATAGTCTTAGGACACTCAATTGCCTGGATCTCTGCTGATGATTTTATATTTATTTCTATTTCCACTCTATTCCACATCATCTTGTCCATTCTTTAAGCTTCTTGCTGTGCTGTTTTGTTTATGATTTTTCTCCTCTTTTAAATCACGTACTAACATAGCTGAAGAAAAAGATTTATATTAATGTCATGGAAAAAGTCACAACTTCCTAAATTGTTTTAGTTCTTATCGTTTTTTCTTGTTTTCATGTAGAATTTCACTGCTGGACATTACACATATCCAGCAAAATATATGGCATTTGTTGTGTTACCCTTAAAAGAATATTTTGTATTTTCTGACATCATTAAACTTTTAGCTAAAACCTAAGAGTTTTCAAAATGAGAGATTTTGTACCCAAACATGTTTTCCATGAGGTCAAAGTCCATAAAAATGAGCTCAATCATTTCCTGTCAATCATTCAATGACTTCCGTTTGTCTCAGAATAAAGGTCTGAGTGTTCCACTGACAGGATGTAACTGCAGGACAGAGTGGCACTTGTGAGCTCCCAGAATCCACACCTCAGGTGTCCCTCCCAGTATCAGGAGCCCCAGGAATTGCTACACAGCAAGGTCTGGAGAGGACCAGGGAGCCATGGACACAGGTTCTCTGGATTGACCAGCAGGAAGAGTCCACCCCTGGTCTTGCCCAACTCCTGCCTGGCCTCACCTCTCATTCTCGCTGAGCTGCTCCAGGGCTCAGAACTAGGCCCTGAATTACTCCTCAGGCTCTATTTCATATTTCTAGGCAGCCCCTGCAGCACCACTATCTCCTCCATTACTTTCTGCTCCTAGGGCCAGAGGGAAGGAGAGGATGCAGACACTGCCTGAGTGGGGGTGAGGAGTGGGTCAGGTGACCTGTCCTGAGTCGGCACATATGGGCACCATCTTTCCCCCTAATTCCATCCAGGCCCTTCCTGTGCTCAGAGATGGGCATCGACAGCCCTTCCTCCAGGAGGTTATCCTTGATGCCACACCTTATCCCCAGCCACCAACTGGAGGGGTCTCCCACTTCTGTTATCAAACTCTTCCAATGAATGGAAGATGCAGGGGATGGAGCCCAGGAGTGTGCTGGCCAGGGCACCTATGACTGTCACTCCCCTCTGCTGTCCCGCAGGAGGTGCCACAGCTGCTCACCTTCTCCTTTTTTTCTAAGTTGATCTGATTCCCCTGGAAGGCAGACAGCCAAAGTCCATCAGAAAGAGGCTCCAGGTGCTCACTTCGGCAGCACATAAACTAAAATTGGAACAATACAGAGAAAATTAGCATGGCACCTGCACAAGGATGACACGCAAATTCGTGAAACATTCCATATTTTTATGAGAAGAAGAACAGGGAGAGAAACCTAGCCATACAGAATTAGAATGGCAATAAGTAAGTACCTATCAGTAATAACTCCACATGAAAATGGATTAAATGCTCCAATCAAAAGGCGCAGGGTAGCTGAATGGATACAAAAACATGACCCAACTACATGCTGTCTACAAGAGACCCACCTCAAAACAAAAGACGTACAGCAGATGAGAATAAAGGGATAGAAACAAATTTTCTAATTTTCAATTTTCAAATTTTGCAAATGGAAAAAACAAACAGCTGGAGTAGCAATACCCATATCCAACAAAATAGACTTTATAATGAAAGCCATCACAAGAGACAACAAAGGTCACTGCATAATATGAAAGGGATCGATCCAACAAGAGAATATAACCCTGGTAACCATATAGGCACCCAATAAAGGAGCACCTAAGTATAGAAAAAATACTTCTAGAGGACTTTAACGGAGAGATCGGTGACAATACAGTCACAGTAGGGGACGTTAACACCCCTCTGACTTTCCTGGACAGATCTTCCAGGCAAAAACTTAACAAGAAAACAGAGACTCTAAAGGACACACTGGATCAGATGGGTTTAATTGACATTTATAGAACATTTCATCCCAACGCCGCAGAATATACATTCTTCTCAGGTGCACATGGATCATTCACAAAGAGAGACCACCTGTTAGGACACAAAACAAGTCTCTATAAGTTCAAGAAGATTGAAATCATATCAAGCATCTTCTCAGATCACAGTGGAATGAAATTAGAAATCAACTACAGGAGAAACACCCCAAAACATTCAAACACATGGAGGCTAAATAGCATGTTATTAAACAATGAATGGGTTAGCAACGAGATAAAGAAAGGAATCAAAAACTTCCTGGAAACAAATGAAAATGAACACACAACAATCCAAAATCTCTGGGACACAGCAAAAGCAGTCCTGAGAGGGAAGTTCATAGCACTACAGGCATACCTCAAAATTTACAGGGAACTCATACACCACAGAAATACAAAGGATTGTAATCAAATACTATGAAGAACTATTTGCCAACAGCTGGACAATGTGGGTAAAATAGACAAAATCCTAGAAAAATGCAATCTCCCAAAACTGAATCAGGAAGAATAAAAAACCTGAATGGGCCAATAACAACTGATGAAATAGAAGCAGTAATCAAAAACTTCCCCCAAACCAAAGCCCAGGTCCGGATGGCTTCACAGGGGAGTTTTACCAAGCATTCAAAGAAGAACTAACACTTATACTCCTCAAACAATTTCAGAAAATCCAAGAGGAAAGAACAATTCCAACTCTTTTTATGAGGCCAGCATTATCCTAATTCCAAAACCAGATAAAGACACTACAAAGAAAGAGAATTACAGGCCAATAACCCTGATGAACATAGATGCTAAAATCCTCAAGAAAATATTAGCAAATTGTGCATCCAGCAATATATTAAAAGGATCATACATCATGATCAAGTGGGATTTATTCTAGAGATGCAAAGCTGGTACATTATTTGCAAATCAATAAACGTGACACATCGCATAAACAAATTGAAAGACAAAAATTGCATGATCATATCAATAGATGCAGAGAAAGCATTTGACAAAATCCAATACCCATTTTTGATAAAAACTCTCAGCAAAGTGGGAATAGAGGGAGCATATCACAACATGATAAAGGCCATATGTGACAAACCTACAGGCAACATCGTACTCAATGGGCAAAACCTAAAACCATTGCCCCTAAGAACAGGAACAAGACAGGGATGCCCACTTTCACCACTCCTGTTCGACATAGTACTGCAAGTGCTAGCCATAGTGATCGGACAAAAAAGGAAATAAAAGGCATCCAAATTGGAAAAGAAGAAGTAAAACTGTCATTATTCAAAGATGAGATGTTATTGTACATAGAAAACCCCAAAAACTCCATTAAAAAACTACTAGACTTAATAAATTAATTCAGCAATGTAGCAGGGTACAAAATTAACAACCAGAAATCTATGGCTTTTTTATACACCAACAATGAACTCACAGAAAGAGAAACTAAAAAAACAATCCCATTTACCATTGCAACAAAAAAACTAAGATACCTAGGAATAAACTTAACTAAGGAGGTAAAAGACCTGTACTTGGAGAACTACAGGACGTTGAAAAAAAGAGATAAAGGAAGACATAAACAACTGGAAGAACATACCATGTTCATGGATTGGTAGAATCAACATTAAAATGTCCATACTACCTAAAGCAATCTATAGAGTCAATGCAATCCCCATTAAGATACCTATGGCATATTTCACAGACCTAGAACAAACTCTCCAAAAATTCATATGGAATAAAAAAAGATCGAGAATAGCCGCAGCAATCTTGAGAAAGAAGAAAAAAGTTGGAGGGATCACAACACCAGATCTCAAGCTATATTACAAAACCACTGTGTTTTGAAACTGCCTGGTACTGGCACAAGAACAGACATATGGACAAATGGAACTGAACAGAGAACCCAGAAATTGACTCAAGCCATTATGCTCAATTAATATTTAATAAAGGAGGCGTGAGCATACAATGGAGTCAAGATAGTCTCTTCAATAAATGGTGTTGGGAAAACTGAACAGATACTTGCAAAAAAATGAAACTAGACCACCAACTTACACCATACACAAGAATAAACTCAAAATGGATAAAAGACTTAAATGTAAGACGGGAACCCATAAAAATCTAAGAGGAACCCACAGGGAGCAAAATATCAGACCTACGTCAAGCAATACCTTTACTGACACAGCTCCTAGGGAAATGCAAACTAAGGAGAAAATAAACAAATGGGACCACATCCAAATAAAAAGCTTCTGCACAGCAAAAGAAACCATCAACAAAACAGAAGAAAGCCCAGTGCATGGGAGGACATATTTGCTAATGTTATCTTTGATAAAGTTTGTTTTGTTTTTGCAATAGAGGTCAGCTTTTATTGAATGTGTTACAAAAGAGCTAGTTTAGTCAAAAAGACCAAAGCCCATGTCATCATCAGACTCCTCGATTCTTCTTTCTTTGCTTCCACTGTCTTCTCCTCAGCTTTGCAAACAAGCCTGGCCAGAAAGCTTCAACATTTACACCAGCTGCTGTAATGAGGGCATTGAGCTTATGCTCAGTTACCGACACTTCATCCGTGTGCAGGATCAGGGCTGAGTAGAGGCAGGCGAGCTCTGAGACTGTGGCCATCGTGAGGGTGAGTGCTTGGCCAGCGCTGCCTGGAGCGGGGCTAGTCTCTGGATAAAGTGAGGGCCTCACCCCAACGCGGCCTCAGCTTCCTCGGAAGAACCGAGCACCGTACTGGCAGCTGGGGAAAGGGGCTTCGATAAAGGTTTAATGTCCAAAATTTACAGGGAACTCATACAATTTAAGGAAAGGAAGATAAACAATCCAATCAAGAAATGGGCAAAGGACCTACATAGACACTTTTTGAAAGAGAATACACAGAAGGCCAGGAGACATATGAAAAATGCTCGAAGTCACTAATCATCCAAGAAATGCAAATCAAAATGACAATGAGGTACCCCCCACACCTGTCAGAATGGCTACCATCAACAAATCAACAAGGGACAAGTGCTGGCGAGGATGCTGAGAAAAAGGACCCCTCTTGCACCGCTGGTGGGAGTGCAGACAGGTGAAACCACTGTGGAAAACAATATGGAGTTTCCTCAAAAAATTAAAAATGGAACTCCCATTTGACCCAGTCATCCCACTTCTAGGACTATATCCTAAGAAACCTGAAATGCCAATCAGAAAGGATATATGCACCCCTATGTTCATAGCAGCACAATTCACCATAGCTAAGATTTGGAAACAGCCCAAGTGCCCATCAGCAGATGAGTGGATTAAAAAACTGTAGTACATTTACACAATGGAACACTATGCTTCAGTAAAAAAGAAGGAAGTCTTACCATTTGCAACAGCATGGATGGACCTGGAGAGCATTATGCTAAGGGAAATAAGCCAGTTGGAGAAAGATAAATATCACATGATCTCATTCATTCATGGAATATAATGAACAACATAGACTGATGAGCAAACATAGAGCCAAGGATAAAAAGTATTTTAGAAAATAATAGAAAAAATCCCGCAAGTCCTCAGGCTCAGACTTGCGGGCAGGGAGATGTTATTTGCGGGTTTTTAATATTTCCTACAACTTTTGTGATATTATACTATGTTAGTACAGCTTTGGTAATATTATTATATTTAAAACTTTTTTCCTTGAAATATTGTTTATTGCATATAATATTATTATATTTAAATTGTTATTCTTGAAATATTAATGTTTATTTCATGTAACATTTTAAAAAGAAGAAAAAAAGAAAGAGCCTCCTGGCCAGGACCAGCCCCCTATGCCCACCCTCCTCACGTTGCAGTACCACCAGGTTCCAAGAGGGGGCGGGAAACAGGGAAAGACAGGACTAGGACCCAGGCCAGGCTCTGGGCTCCAGAGGAGCAGGGATATGGATCACTATGATGGGCATGTCTCCCCAGCTCCCAGGGCCAGTTGTGCTGAGAATTTAGGACTTAGTTTGGTCGCTCTCTGCCCCAAAAGGCCAATCCTGGTCACCCCAACTCACACCCCAGGTCACCCACCTCCAGATCATCCTCCATCCTAGTGTCCAGCATCTTCAGATCAGTCAGAAATTTTCCGAGGAAGAGAACATACTGGGCAAACAGGGTGAGTGTGGGATGAGCCCCTGCTCTCGGGTGCACCACAGACCCTCCCCCGAAAGCCTCCCACCCTCAGCCTCCTGGCCACCCCAGGGTTCCCACGTGGAGCAGCCCAGGACTCTTAGGGCCTCCACTCAATTGTCTCTTCCCTCACTCTCCAGGAACTCCTCCTGATCACCTCCCAGGACCTCCTTTGGCAAATCACAGGGTCAGCAGTCCTGGGCCAGCCCAACCCCATATCCATCCTGCACTCAGCTCCCCAAGGCTCTCCTCTTGGTAACTTCTAAGGGAGGGTTTCAGGATCTATGTGCACAGGAGGTGGGGCTGGAGGAGGAAGGCCTCCCTCTCTTGACTTGGAGGCCTCCAGCTGGGAGGACAGAGCCCCCTCCTCTGACCCTGCAGCGCCGCCCAGGCAGGCTCACTCACCTTCTTCTGCAGCCTCTTCTTGGATCCTCAGATGTTCAGCATCTGAGTGACAAACCTGGAGAGCTGCTTCCAACAGGGTAGAGGTCAGGCTCATTGAGGTCATGCTCACCTCACTGCATTTTTTCCACCACCTCTGACCTCACACCCTGGCCATCTGACCCAAGTCAGCTGGTACCAGTGCCACCCGACTCCAGCATGCCCTGATTCTGAATGGCTCCCAGCTGCAACGCTCACTCGCTGTGTGTGACCTTAGGCCTGGGCCTGGCCTCCCTGACCCGTTCCCTCCTCTGGAAAATGGGAGACGTCCACCTACCTCACAGGTTCTCCTGAGGACTCGGTATCATTCCTGTCATCATTGTCCTCGCCCCCAGGCCTCCAGGTGGCACAGGGCAGGGAGCTCTGCACTGTCCTTTCCTGCCTTGAACTCGTGAGGACCCTGTGAGGCAGGAGGGGATGGTCACCCCTCCATGTCAATCATGAGGAGACTGTCAGTGAGTGTTATAGGGGTGCAGTGGGAAGTCTCAGAGAGCACACGCCTCTGTCTCTGGTCCAGCAAGTGGGACCTGAGGCCAACAGCTCTTTGTTCCCCTGTCCCGTGGGAATCCCCTGCAGGGCCCATCCTTGGGGCAGGCAGAGGCGCTCGCCTTGGAGGTGTGCTGAAGACAGAAATGGCAGCAGGGCCCTGGCATCCTGAGAGCAGGCTCAGCTGTTTTGGGAAAGAAACCACCCATTAAGCTTACAGCCCGGAGAAGCTCAGGGCCAGCACAGGGAGGAGCATGGAAGCCAGAGACCCGCTCAATGTGCCAGCTCCGCACCCCGTCCTGGAACAGCCCAGCCACCACCCTGTGTGCCATGACCGGGGCCTCCTGCCCCTGAAACTGCCCCTCACCTGCCCATGGACCAAACAGATCCCTCTTCTGGGTAATTGGGACCAAGAGGGTGAACATTTTCAGAGAATCTTCAAGTGACAAACTACCACAGCCGCATCCTGTGCAGTCCCTCCTTCCCTCACGCCCTCCTCTCTGCAGACCTCCAGGCTCGCTCTACCTTGATGAACTGTTCCCTGCTCAGTGAATTGTCTTCCTTACACAGTTTTTGGAATGTAACTGCACTCCTTCTGAGGGGAGGGAAAGAGGAAAAATATGTTTAGGAACAATGAGGGAGATGGATGTGGGGACCACACCAGAGACGCCTGGACACCTGATAGTCAAGGCCAGTGAAGCACAGAGGCCTTGTTGTTAATACTCCAGGCATCCAAGGCCACCCTCAACAGGGGGGTCTTAATCAGGCTGAGATGCCATAAGCAGGTGCAATCCTACATTATACTGCACATGTGTGCTCTTCTGTAGCCAAAATGACTGATGTAACTACTGTCATGAAGCCTTCTTTGTCAATGAAGCAATAGACTGGTTACTGACCAGCTAGTCTGCTAGAGAGAACAGCTAGGAAGGGAAAAGGCTAGAGAGCTCAGACGGAGCTGAGAGGAACCCAGTGAAGAAGACATAAGGCTCAGAGCTCATTGAGAGCTCAGGTATAGCTACCATGCTAACCAGCTGGAGTGTGCTGGGCAGGGAGATGGGAGAAGCTGCTGAGCCAGAGAGCTCAGATACCGCTATGACAGTGATGGCGAACCTTTTGAGCTCGGCGTGTCAGCATTTTGAAAAACCCTAACTTAACTCTGGTGCCGTGTCACATATAGAAATTTTTTGATATTTGCAACCATAGTAAAACAAAGACTTACATTTTTGATATTTATTTTATATATTTAAATGCCATTTAACAAAGAAAAATCAACCAAAAAAATGAGTTCGCATGTCACCTCTGACACGTGTGTCATAGGTTCGCCATCACTGCACTATGATGTAAGGCGGTGATTTCAGAGGCAGCATGAAGCTGCTCAGATAATGTCTGTGGGTGCAGAGACTGATGTGGGAAAGAAATGTATGCACCAGCCGGTGTACAGCTGCCTGATTGGGACACTGTTATGAAAGACTGTCTTGTCTGATGACTTATGGCCACTGGCTTCTGCAATAAAGACTCATTCTTATGCACCCACAACTTCTCAGGGCTTCTCCTTCTAAGGTCCGGTGTCCTAGGAGGTCCAACCCCAGGCAGAGGGGCTGAGACCCAACACCTGTAACTAGTGAGCAGAGAATAAAGGAGGAACTTGGAGTAAGTTCCCAACAGTTTGTGCAGTGGGCGGGGTTCGAGAAGGACCTGCCCTGGCGTGGTCGCCAAGAATGTAGAAGAATATAGGGGCTCAGAACCACTCAGAGCAGCTGTGCTCTTGCCGCTCTGACACTTGGCTTTGCTGGCAGGATCCGGGAGATGTGCGGGTTCCAGCAGGAGACGGTGCTCCCAACACGAGGTGTCAGGACAGGACTTTGGGGGTAAGTGCCCTGTCGGGAGATAGTGTTGACTCCCCACCCCTTGAGGACTTGGAATCAGACCCCCAAAGAGCAGCGGGGAGCAGGAGGCTTTGGAGAAACTGAGTTTCCGAAATCCAGGCTGAGGAAAGGCGGAGGGGAGCCAGCAGCCGCCCTGGTGATGGAGAGTCGCCATCTGCCTGCAGCAGGTTGCACGGAGCTTCTGGGAGCTGGTGGAGGCTTGGGAGAGACCTTCCTCAGAGAAGCAGGAGCAGGCAAAGAAGGTGGAGGGGCCAAATGCCCAAGCTGCCTCCAGGCAATGCAGAGACCCCTCAGCCCCAGCAGAAGCTTTTGCTGGAGTGAGAGCAGTTGGAGTGGGGGAAAGGGAGGGGAATGG